GATTCATATTTATGATGGTTGCAGTGTCCCGGGGTCATGTGATCACCATTTGCGACCTTCTGATAAGCAAAGTCAATTGCTTAAAAATTGTGTTACTAACTTAATAACTGCAATGATTCACTTAACAACTGTGGCAAGAAAGGTAGTAAAATAGAGCAAAGTTCATTTAACAAATGTCTTGTTTAGCAACAGAAATTTTGGGCTCAATTGTGATTGTAAGTTGAGGACTACCTGTATGGCCAAGTTTTTTTTAAGTTTCTAATTATTCTGTTTTTGAAGTAAAATAACTGAGTGCAAAGTGGCATATGTAATTGTGATTAACATCAGATTGCAACAGCAAAAAAAAAAAAAATCCCACGGAATATACAAATCGTTTGTAGCAGAGGTGGGTTCCTACCAGTTCGGTAGAACCTGTTCGTCAAATCTACCAAACCGGTTAGAAGAGGTTCCACCAGTGGTCCCGGAAAGCAGGCCACACCTACAGAAGAGGTTCCAAAAATTTTTGAAACCCACCACTGGTTTGTAGCTATATTAGTTCATGTGATGAATCTAATTGTAAACATGTGTGGAAATTTTGTTTTCGTTTATGTTCCCTATAATTCAAATTCAAGTCTGTTGCAAGAGATACATGCCAGGAAAACTTTTATAAAAGCAGCTAGAAGAGAATGGGATGTGTGCTGTTAAGGCAAAGTAAGCCTGCAAAGAAATGCAGCCAGAAGTAGCACAGGAGAAGCTTTTGCTCACACACATTTCAGCAGCAGATCCATGGAAGAGTATTGCTTGATTGAGGGTTAGCAAAGGCAGCTACGCAAGCAAAAATATAAACACTAAAGGGTAAGTACCAAGAGAGCCATGTTTCTCAAATACAGACGCCTGTCAACCTTGTCCTGTGGAGAGGGGTTAAAGCTTTAAAATGATTTTGTGAGATTAATGCAAACTTAGAAAAAAGGAGGGGGGAAACCCAACAAAAATGAGTGTTAATTGAAAAAAGACATTAGTCTATTATGAAGGAGTATATTGCTTCTACCTCTAATTCCCTCAGAATTCCTGACTGTCCACAAGTCTCCAAATCTTCCAGTGCTTGGGACCAGAAGTTTTCCTCCTGGTCAGGCTCAGGGATACCTGTAAAGCTGGATTCAGAGAAAGGTTTCTAAAGTTATAGAGAATATCACAATGAGCTTCACAGGAAATGCTTGCAATGGAAAGTAACAACAAGGATTTTCAGGTGTGAGCTAGACGACAAAGCAGAGGAGACCCAGCTGATGAATGGGCTGTGGAGTGACTGGTAGAAGAATTTATACCAGCCTACAGTCCCCTAATCATCTTTGTTGCTCTTCTCTGCACTCTTTCTAGAGTTTTAATATCTTTTTACATCATGGCGACCAAAACTGGATGTAATATTCCAAGTGTGACCTTATCAAGGCATTATAAAGTGGTATTAACACTTCACGTGATCTTGATTCTATCCTTCTGTTTATGCAGCTTAGATCTGTGTTGTATTTTTGGGCCACTGCAGCACACTACTGGTTCATATTTAAATGATTGTCCACTAGGACTTTAAGATCCCTTTCATAGTTACTACTATTGAGCAAGATAGCAATAGCAATAGCAGTAGACTTATATACCGCTTCATAGGNGCTTATAGAGTGCTCCTGGGGGCTGGAGGGGGGGGGGAAACCGAGCAAAAAATGGGCTGTTTTTTGCTCATTTCTCCCCAGCCTCCAGCTTTCTAAAAGCTTCCTACAAGCTATGCACAGCCATTTTGGTGAAGGGGTGAAGTTTCGGGAGGCAAAAAAGGCTGTATTCAGTGTAAAAGATGCACCCAGATTTTCAGCCTCTTTTTTGAGGTAGTCTGAAAAATATGGTACTTGGTTCAGAAGATGAACCATCGTGAAAGAGTCCCTTGGAAGTCTTGCAGAGTTCACATTTACAGTAAGAACATTTAATTTAAGCCAATAACTCAGAAAATGATTTACTAACATGGATAAAGTTGTTTGTCTTTAGTCAGTCAAAGACTGTGACCAAAAACTACTTGGCTTTCATTATTCTGAATTTTGGATTTATTTAAAATTAAACTAAATATTAATCCCCCCCCCTCTCCCTATATTACAGGAAAGACTATAAAATTATAAATGAACTCTGTTGCAAGCATTACTCAGGACATCCAATGTTTGGAGCATTAACGAGTTGTTAATGTTTATCATGTAAATCAATATAACATATGGATAAAGAGAAGCATTTAAAATCCATTTTAAAAATGCACTCAGTTCCATGGTTTATGTTTATATCAGAAATGTAAAGAATAAAAGTATCTTCAAGAGTAAATAATATTGTGGAATATTGGCTTTCACTGAAGACTTGTCAGACCATTAATTTATTTAAAATTAAACGTTTCCATCTTTCTGTTATAGATGTGTGAAGTACTTGGTCTTTCAGTTTCTTGAGAAGGCATTAACAAAGCAGCACTTAAAAGTAATGGCAGACCTCTAAGCATATTTCCAATGCTCAAGAATAATATGACAGGAAAGGAAGAGGAAACTTTTGATGTATTTTCAGCATTGCAATGAAGATATTTTTAATGTTCATTTAAAAAACAGATGCATCTTGGTTAGTCTTAGTTGAGGATTTATCAGCATGACATTGATGTATCCCATAAACAAATTGAATTATTATTAACCCTATCTTTTTTTAATGTTGGTCCCCTCACTCTACTTTTCCTGCTTATCTGATCTTTAATATTTTTAATCTAGGTTACCAAAAATCAGAGAAGGCTGGTTGCTACAGGATGCATACATATAATTTAAAACTATTTTTATTAACTAGCATCAGGTCTTAAGACACGTCTTTTTTTAAAAATTCAGTTTCACTAACATCTCAGAATTGTTTTTTCCTTGGAACCGATTTGAAGTTTGACTCTGAAGACTATTCTTATTGTACAATTCTTCCAATCATAAGAAGTATATTATTCAGTCAGGAATTCTGCTTCCCTTTATCTTTTTGTGGTTGCTGTGGTTTGTTTCACAACAGAAATGAGATATTTTATGATTTCATATAAGAGCTTTAAAAATAACGTGAAAAATTACATAGACCACTTGATTAAACAAGAAGAATGGGTTTTATCTTTAAATAAACTTTTTTAAAGACTTCATTATTATTTAAAACATTCACATTAAGCTGCTACATACATACCAAGCATGTTACTTTATCATATAAATTGTAGTGGCATGTTGTATGTCTACATTTGTCCCAGGGAGAGGAAAGAATAATAATTGCCCTTTTACATTTTGTAGGAATGTCTTGAAGATATTTGTCAATCATCTTCCTCCTAACCAGGTTCTTTCATCTGAGTTTCTCAGAGGATTCTCTTCATTAAAATAATTATAATAAAAAGGGCAAAACTGTTGTTTGGAAGTATTCAAATGTGTTATGGCAAAACTTCAATTTCATACACACATGTAGCATATTCCAGATGCAATAAATAAATTTCCATCAACTTTGCCTGAAATAATGTGAGGTCTGTTGCATTCAAAGTAGCCTGGGTGAGGCAGTTGTATTTATATTAATTTTATATCTTGGCAATTTCAATTGGCCTAAGGAATGAACTATATTAAAAATAATATAGTGATGAAAATGATCTTTTGTTTTATAATAATCATGATTGCATAATTTGATTAGCTTGGGGATTAACTGAAAGCTGCTTCCATGAATGGTCTCTTGTAATGTGACTTCATTGTACTTCATTGTATTTGTTTTTGCTTGCAAAAAGAAAACGTAATAGTAAAAAACCTCTTGAAAATTGAAATAATCCAATGTTGGCTACCTGCAGTGTACTTACTTATATTACCAGGAAGCAGTTCTTTTGTTGAGGCATACATAGCCACAGTTTTAGAAATTTAAACTCTTTACTGAGAATTGCATTTGGATATACAGGGCATCTTTGGATATACAGGGCATCTTTGTGACTACCATACCTGATCAGCCCCAAGTAAAGATGAAATTGGCCAGTTACTGCCTCCTACTGGTTAATCTAAATTGCTTAGTGCAATATACTAAGTTGGTTTTACTGTGCATAGAAATAGAATAGGAATAGAGCTGGAAGGAGGCCACAGACCTCTGCTCAACCATTTCAGATAACTGTCTAGTCTCTTCTTAAAAACCTCCAGTGCCCACAATTTCTGAAGGCAACTTCTGTTCCACTGGTTAATTGTCCTCACTGTTAGGAAGCTTTTCCTTAATTCCAGATTGCTTCTCTCTTTGATTAGTTTCCAACCATTGTTTCTTGTCCTACCCTCTGGTGCTTTGGAGAATACTTTGACCCCCCTCTTCTTTGCGTCAGCCTCTCAAATACTGAAATACTGCTATCAAATGCTAAATCTTTTTTTCTTTAGACTAGCCAAACCCCAAACCTGTAGTTGTTCTATGGTTTAGTCTCCAGGCTTTGATCATCTTAGTTGCTCTTCTCTGAACTTTTCCGGAGTCTCATAATCTTTTTTAGAGAAATGTCATTGCCCAAGAAAGGAAGTCACATAAAGCATCCTAAATAAAGGCATGATATTATACAACATATACTATAATATATATTTCCTTGAATGCTTAAAAAAAGAAGGTGCTTTTTTATGAATTGTATTTGTTGCATTAAATCTTAAAATTTAATGGGGTAAATAATGATCACGCAACTTGGATTAGATGATATAGTGAAACAATCCTTTTTCCCTATGCAAATATTTCCCTATGTAAGCTGTTTTTCTAAATATTTTTTTTTCACTTTATGATGACGTTTGCAGCTCCACCTTTGCAAGTTGCCTTGACTCAATTTTTGCCCATTTCCACTCTACCATGGTGGTAAAAGAAGTCATGTTCCACAATTATTCTTCTGTTTTTAGTTTTGGGATCCAAACTATTGTCTTCAAATATGTTTATTAATTTTTTTACATTTTCGATACAAATTTTTAACAATTTGAGTTCCCAGAAACCATACATAGATGATAAATATCATGCTATTAAAGTATTAAATTTGTACAAAAATACTTTAGTTTAATACTCATTGTTACAAATAAAAATACGTATTAAGTGGTTCATGATATGGATTTCAATTTCATTTAAATTATTATTTTTTCTTTCTGGCAGTGCTGGAATATGAGAACATGTCACATGAGTGCATAGGGCATAGAAACTTGCTCTCTAATAGGTGAAGAAAAGAATATTATGGGTATTTTGACAATTCAAAAAGGCCAAAAAAAATTGTGGTAAGATTCAATGTTATCACAGAAAAATCCGGTTTCTTTCCAGTCACTAAGTAACATTACTGTATCAAGACAATACAGTGGACAAACCAAAGCAGCTGCTGGTGGGTCTCAAAAGCAACTAGCAGCATTTTATTGCTTTGAATGAGAAACAGGGCAGAATTTGGGTATATGTGGGTGAAACATATTTACATTTTAAAATTAAGTCTTCAAAATGGCAGAGTCAATGAGAGCGCCAACAAAGCTATTTAAATAGATACTTTAAATCAAAAGCACATTTCATTTATCTTAATTTTTAAAAAGTGTCCTTTTTTGCTGTACAAGCTTATTTATATACGTGTTCCCTAAACACAGTAGTTCATATGTTTTTGCATCAGTATTACTTTGCTACTGGAATTCAGTTAAGAAAAAAAAAACTTACTTGAATGTTTTTCTTATTAAACTTTGTTTCCATAAAGCCTTATTAATTGTTTTAAAACAAAAATCATTATACGTTTCAAATACCTAAAAGTGAGAAATCCATACAGGGTGCATGACATATCCTATTGTTTAAAATTGCATAGGGAATAATGTAATTTCTAATAAATCATATTGTAACAGAATCTAAAGTTTTATCCCCTGGGATCCTTTGTGCACCTTTGCTGAAATGATTGCAGAACAAGTAACAGTTTTTGGTCCCCCCCACCCCCTGTTTAGCAGAGGTAAGAGACACACACTTTATTAAACAATAACTATGATACAATAATCTTTTGGGCATAATGATAATATTTTGATATTCCTTCCTTCAATTAACTGATCTTTTAATATAAACTTTGATAATAAAAAACTGGGATACTCTTTTTAGATACTTGGATGGGAGGTTGAAAAGAGCTCAGTTTCACTTACAATGTTTCTTTTGATTAATCTACATGAAAACAGTTATTTTCCCCATTGCTTTCTCTTGCATGTGGAGTTCAGCTTGAAATGGCACTATTTGTGGTTATAAAAAAGTGAGAAGAAAACGATTGGGAAGAAAGCAGCAAAGAATAAGCCTTGAGAAATAATCAGAACCTTCCCTGTGTGCTTCTCAACATTAGATAGTGTCTGTGTTTCCAGTGTATCAGACGTATTAAAAAAAAATAGCACCATTTAAATCTTTAGCATCTTGGACAGATACAGTTTTTGGCTATAAAGTGTTCATAGGTTCCCATTTCATCTCTGAACCTGTGTTATGTCCACTTTGTTGAAGGAAAGCATTGTTCGGATGGCTCCAGTGTCCTGTTGAGAAAGTCTGGTGCTCAGAGCCTTTCCTTTGGGAAGCTAATGGGTTGCGACTAATAACAAGTTCTAATTTATTACTGGACTCTGCTATTAGGGGTACAACAAGGCAGCAGTCAAAGTCTCTTGTGCGAACGTGATTTACCTGAAAAGGGGAAAAAAGATTTTTTTTCAACAAAAGAAGACAAGTCAAGCAAGCCAATAAAAAGATGGTCTTACATATTTTTTAGGTGAAGGATAATATAAGACAGTTTAGACCCAAATAAACAAAGAGCTTGAAATAAAGAAGAAAATATTTGCAAGAGAATGAATTAAACGGAATATAATTTTGTAAGCTAATAAGTTTAATTTGATCCCCCCCCCATACTATTTAACTTGTTTCAGAAGTCACGGTGTTTAGCAGCATTGTGTAAAGAAAATGAATACCCAGTTACAGTTGTGCAACAGATACTACTGTATTTACATAAATAATACTAATTTAGAATTATTTAGAGCTATTTCCCAAAATAAAAGTAAACAACAAAAAATAGTAAAAATCCCAAGAAATGACCATCTTCCCTTCCTTATTCATTCATTCATTCATTCATTAACTCATTCACACCTTTGCAGCATTCATATACTTCCACTGCAAAAGGGCCCCTGAGTTTTAGAAAAACTGCCAGATATAGATGAATTATTTAAGTTGAATTGCCTAAAATAAGAAACTTAATTTGGAGAATTCTCTCTATCTGCATTTATCAGCTTATTCTCTTTCACACATGGTTTTCTCACATAAAACTGAACATACATTGTAGCAATCTCCTCCTCCTTTTAGCAGAAAGCAGAAAAATAAGGAAAAATAGGACAGAGACAGGATGTAGGGTAAGGATAGCTATATTGGGAAGGGTCTATAAGAGAAAGGGAAAACAGAAAAAAAGTAGAGATGAGGTAAGAGGAACCGAAAATTAGATAGGTGAGTGAAGAAAAGAGATGTGAGCCCTATTCCAAAAGTGATTAAAATTCATTAGAAAAATAGTTCACCTAAACTATAGTTAATCTTCAAATTAATCCCGCTTTTAAGTGGCTGTATCTATGATCCCATATATATCTCCTTCTCACTCTTCCTTTTCTACATTTTCTTCATTTTTTTCATTGAATAACATCAACTCATAGGTAAATTATTTTATCTACTTTATATTGGACAAAAAAGCACTTTTCTATAAGTTATTTAATGACAGTGTTACCTACCCTATTAATGGTTAGAGTGGAATTTTCCAAAGTACATTCTCCCTTATTTGCCTTACAAAATAAGTGAATGAGAAAGCAGAATTACATTTGCACAATTTCATATAGAATATCCTCAAATGTCTGAATGTTGAACTTGTTTAACATAATCCCTTTATACTTACTAAATGATTTCTTTCTATTAATTGAGTTCAAAATTATGTAAAGTTTCACATTACCTGTAGTAGTCTGTCATATGGCTTCAAACCACCTACATCTCCAGGTCCATCTGGCCGAATATTTTTAACATATACACCTTTTTCCAATAAGCCATCAGAGACACTGAATCCGAAGTCCTCCATATTAGAATCCTTGTATAAAGTTATCTATTAAGGGATAAGGAAATTCCTCATGACTTTGTTAACATTCAGAAATACTTTTCTGCCTAATCTTCCCACATTTTCTCATAGGCTAAGCATGAGCAATAGTTTCTTTCTGGTATTCTTCACTCATTTCCTTTCCTTGTCCCTTTTCAATATATTAATGAAAAAAAATACGTTAATGAAAAAAATTGCATCAAGATCTAGAATACTTAAGGAAGATCATACCAAGATTATAAATTACTTGACTTTTAATTTGGTAAATTCTAGAAGAGAATAAGTCTTTGCAGTTTAATCTTATATCATTTTTTTAAATCAGAAAACTTCTTTGCTAGACTGGGAGAGTACCATAAGCATAATATGTTGCCAAACAGCTGACATACTATGAGACTATGAGTATGAGCACAGTGTCATGGCAAATGCGTGGCTCCTCCATCCAGGGAGGACGAAGGTCAGGCTTGGGGGATGACCCTCATCCCGCAAGGTCTGCCCCTGCCATTCTCTCCCAGCCCTCTTTGCTAGTGTCAACAGGTAATGTACTGTGCTGAACGAGGAATGTTGTTGCCGCTCAATGGCAAGTGCAGGGATGCTTTACTCCCTCACTAAGGCTCCAACCATGCCACTTTTGCAACAGGAAGACGGCTTTTTCATCCGTCTGCCGTGACTGGATTACAGGGAGCTGCAGCAGAGGGCCCAAAGAGCTGCAGGTTGCCGACCCCCAGTATAGGGTCTCCCCCAAAGTCCCTTCTCAGTATTATTCTGACATCTTTCCCAGGCCCTTGTCTCAGATTTTGGTATCCTCAATTTTCTAGCCTGAGCAGGGGGTTGGACTAGAAGACCTCCAAAGTCCCTTTCAACTCTGGTATTCTGTTATTCCTGAGCTAAATAGCTAAGACCCTCATTGAAATCCTATCTCTTTTGCTCCTTCTGGACTAATGAGTTAAAGAGCTGCCTCTAGACATTCATTTTAGTAAGATTTTTAGAAACCTGCAGTTGAAAGTTCTTCATGCCTCCTTATCCTGAAGACCCAATTTCATTTGGAATTTAATCCCAGAACGATTGCCCTTTTAGCATTTCTCTTGACACTTCTTCAAAATGCACCCCTCAAAAGCCACATCCCAGTTTTGGCTGCAAGAACTGCAGACAGCCTTCCTGGCCACACACCGCATCCTCCTGCTGTCCAATGTGAGCCAGGAGGCCTGAGAGAAAGCACCTGGTCTGGGCACACAGCCCTTCACGACAGAGCCCTTCCTGGGGAGCAAAGCCCTGGATAACCTGATCTGTTATGAAGGCCCCAAGGATCTCCAGACTTTCCACACACCTCTTCTGGCCTGAGTGCCCTGCCCTTCAGTTCCCAATGGGACAAGGGCCCGGTGGCGGTGGTGCTCAGGGAGGGTGGGTGGATGCCCTGGGGCTGCATGCATGCACTGCAGTGGAGCAGCAGTCTCGGCCCCTGTGCAGCGGCTCCTCCAAGGACCAGCACCCACCTGCTGGCCAGGTTGGCCCGAAAGTGGCGTGTACCCCTATGTACAGGCTGGATATGGGACCTGAGGGGGAGGGGAAGGTGAGCGGGTGGCAGTCATTGTCCGGAGGCCCCACAGAAGCCAAGCATGCCAGGCACAAAAGGCAAGTGAGCCTTGCCGTGTCCGCTCGAAGTGGCTCTTTGGCCAAGCGCAGTGTGTCTCCCTCCCCTGCCTTCGGTGTCGGCCTTACCTTCCAGAGCTCCCATGCACCTCCACCTGCCAAAAAACCCTGCCATTCATATCCCAACTAGGCCAATATGTAGCTGCCCGCGAAGGTAAGGCTGATGACGGGCAGACCTTGGGGGAGACACCACGCTGGGCCCGAGACTGCTGCTCTGCTGCGGTCCGTGCATGCAGCCCAGGACATCTGCCCACCCTCCTGGAGCACAGCTGCTGCTGGGCGCTAGACCCATTGGGATCTGAAGGGCAGGGCACTCAGACCGGTGGAGGTGCATGGAATGTCTGGAGCTCCTCAAGGCCTTTGGGACAGATCAGGTCAGGAGCAGGCGGGAGGAGGCTGAGATAGCTGGGTGAATCTAGTCTAGGCGAGTGAGGAGGAGTGGAGATCGGCGAAGGAAGGCAGTTGAGGTAGAGAGCTGGGTTGCGGCTGCTGCATGGTAGGCCATGTGGGATGCAGCCACAGCAGAAGGCAGGCAAGCTGGCTGGGCCACGTGGGAGGCATCTAGGCCGGGATTCAGGCCTTGCTTGCAGGATCGCCCAGGCAGATCAGGGCTGTTCAGTTGGGCCACGGGGAGAATGCTACATGGGATGTAGCTGCAGTGGTGAAGGCAGGCAAGCTGGCTGGCCCATAGAGCCGGTGTGGTTGAGGCAAGTGACGAAGCCAGAAAAGAGCACAGCAGTAGCGGGCAAGATGAGGAGTGACTGGGCAGAGCGGGGTGGGTGGGGCGGACCAACCAGTGGTGGGATTTGCTGATTTGCCAAAATGTGGAGAATCTTAACAGCTGGTTCACCTGAACGGGTCTGAATCAGCTGAAACCCACCTCTGAGTGAGCCTGTGCACACATGCTCCACTTGTGTGAGCAACAGGCTGCTTGTGTGGAACCACCCCCCTCCCCCCCATGGGAGCTCTGGATTAAAATATGCATCTTGGATAGTTTCCTTCTCTGTTTGAATACAAACAGAAATATCTTTTCCATAGGAATTGCAATTCTTTGATGGATATGTGCATTTCAGAAATATAAAATATAAATGAATAAATATTTGGTTGCATGCTGAGCTTAGATGCCGTTAAAATGAATGTCGGAGCATTTAAATCAATTTCAGTTGTTTGTATGTTTATCCATTATTTTACCTGACGTATCACTGTAGGTATTTAAGAATGGGGAGTATATTTGCTGAAGTGGCACATTGGAAAACAAATAATATACAACTCAGAGAAAATACTGAACATTGGTTCAAAGGGCTAATTTAATATGTCCTTTGATTATATTGGAGATAGTCTTACGGTTAGTCAAAGCTGAATACTACCAGAGTAGTAGCATAAAAACTATTATTCACCCACAACATTTATTGCAGAATTGAAAATGTTGCACTGCTCTATGTTGTGCTGCTTTACATCACAGAAGAAGAAAATCAAAACAGTTAGTCTCTCCCTCCCTCTTTTATCTTTCTCCCATCATTAATCTCTGTGTCCTGAGAAGGAATATTTTTGGGGGTGGGTGGGGGGAGAAAGAGGCAGGGGTGAGATTGCAAAATTCCATCACCATGTGCAATACCTAAGTCAAATATGGGATCAACATGTTTACTCAACTAACCAATCTCTCTTTATTTTATTTTGCATGTTTCATAATGAACAATTATGTGACCTTGCTGGGAAATATCTCGAGTGAAATACATCCACAACTACATTTAGAGGGGGGAAATCTGCACCTGCCTGCCTGCCTATCTATTTATATGTAGTCCTTGACTTATAACAGTTTGTTTAGTGTCCATTTGAAATTACAATATCACTGAAAAAAACTTAGAATGATTTTTCATACTTATGACCATTGCAGCATCCCCATGGTCATGTGATCAAAATTCAGCCACTTGGCAACTAGTTCAGTTGCAGCTTCCTGGGGTAATGTGATCACTTTTTGTGACCCTCTGACAAGTAAATTCAATGGAGAAGCCAAAGTCATTTAACAACTGTGTTACTAACTTAATCACAGTGATTCACTTAACAACTGTGGCAAGAAAAATTGTAAAATTGGGCAAAACTCACTTAACAAATGTCTCGCTTAGCAACATAAATTTGGGGGCTCAATTATGGTCGTAAGTCAAGAACTACTTGTATCTATTTTATAGAGCTATCCATTTCATGTAATAATTCCAGGTCATGCACAAGAAAAAGGTCAAAACAGGGTAATATATAGAAAATCTTTTCAATTTTCTTAATATTCAGTTACTTGATTGGATGACATACAGATGACCATTGATCAACATAAAATATTCAAGACACGATACATTTCATGCAAAATCTATACATTACAGTGGATGTGATGTTTGTGAATGAGAGTGTAACTCTTTTTCGTAGCATATGCAGAGATATCAGCTGAGCCATTTCTTTGCAATTCTTCATAGTGCAGAGTTTAGCCAGAAAGTGAAATCAAAAAGTCACTACCTTGTGTAACTCCACAGGAGTTGGGGACATGATTTCTTTCATCTCTTGCTTCATTTTTCTAAGGGCTATGGACTTCCTCCCCACATCTGAAGGCAATGTGTTGCTTCGAGTGGTCTGGCTATAATGTGGCCTCGAAGTACTTCTTTCCTGAAAGCTGGCTTGTCTTCCTAGATGGCTGCGAACTTGAGAGTTATCATGATTCAGGCTCATTGTACTCCCTGACATAATTGTAGCCTGCAGCATTAATAAACAGGTTGTAAAAATATAATACATAACATAATAAAGAAGGTATACTCCTAATGAACAGAATTTTTCTGCTGTTATTGTCAAAATACAGTTGCTCAGGGCAAGCAAATGGCTTGGAGAATAGATGAACAATCTGACTGGGAAATTGGGGAAGATCCCCGAGATTCCCCAGTGGATCAGTATAAAAGTATATAAAATTTTATTAGAAATGTTTAGTAAAACTTTTCCAGATAAAGTCCTGACTATACCTAATATCTCTCCCACACACACACCATGATGGTTTCCTCTTTTGTAGTAACCAAAATTATGCACAGTAGCAGAAGTAGAGTAACACAGAGTAAGGCAAATAAAAGAAGTCATTATTTAAAAAAATAAAAGGATATACGTACATCTATATCTAGTTTACACCAACTCACACATACTATTTCATATCGTCTTTGTAATTTTTTAAAAATATTCTTTTGAGGAACACTATCCAACTGCAATTTTCTCAATGTTTCTTTTTTTTTTTCCTTATCCATACACACCTCCTTCATATATTTGTAGTAATTTGATCCTCATTCAGTCTCTCAAACCATATGCTTGTTCTACACTGTTGATTCATTTTTAAATT